ATGGCATGTCATTTCTGTCTCTACATGGTCATGCGTTTACAATTTTCCTCTGATCTCTGTATCTTGCATGGACAAGTTCTGCCCTGATGTGCGCGCGCACACACATGTACTTATAACCTTATCAAATAAAACATATAATTGCTATGATGAAAAATCCATCCAAATGAACTGGTTTCTTGAGTAATTGCTACACATTAACACACACACCAAAGATTTTGGGGCCGCTTTGTCTTAATACAACTGTAATAAGCTAAGTAAGGATTTTTAAATTTAATTTAATGTATTTATTTGCCTAATGTTGTTACCTGCTTCAATGTCAGCATTTGACTTTTTTTATTCTCTTTTGTACTTCTATTACTACTACACCTACTACTATTACTACTTACAAAATAATATTTTTTGCTTTATTTACGAACAACAAAAACCCTATGTGATGTGGTCTTCTGTATAAAATTTCAAGTTAAATGTTAAATAAAGTTAATTAAATTACTTGAGAATATAAAAACTATGGATGCCTGCTATTAGAACTACTAAACAATGTCACGGTCAATACCAAGTACAGCTTCACTGCGCTGTTAGTATGGCTCTACTCTTAGGTTGTGTCCAAAATCACTTCCTATTCACTCATTGTACACTCAACAGTAAATTGAGATTTTAGATACTTACTAATCATTGTCATTTTGTGTAAATGGTCTTATACTTGTATAGCGCTTTTCAGCACACTCAAAGTGCTTTCACACTACTTGGCCATTCACCCATTCGCACTCTCAAATGCTCACACAATTACACACCATCACCGGGAGCAACTGTGGATTCAGTGTCTTGCTCAAGGACACGTCAACATGTGGACTGGACAAGCTGAAAACTGCATAAGGACTATGAATGAAGTGGCACAGAGATTATGCTGTAGGAAAATGAGACCCATAGAGTTTTCCTGACTTGTAATAATAATCAGGATAATCACCTTTATTGGCCAAGTATGTTACACACAAGGAATTTGTTTCCGGTACAGAACCGTTTGTTGTGTTTTCAGAAGTTACTGTATATTAGGAGCAGAGCATCACCAGGTGCCACTCGTTACATCATATGAGGACAAATTTTTAGGATAGTAAGTAGAAAGATTTCAATTTATGTATTCATTCTTGTTGAATATATTATACAAAAGACAACCAGCACAATTAAAGAAAATGTTGTGAAAGCCTCGACCGTTCAGAGCAGAGAAGAACATACAGCAGATGGTGTTTGATGTTCAACAAATGTTCACCACTTGTCAGTTCCCCTGTCACCCCACAGTCAGTCAGCGTCTCCCCGGCCAGGTCTGAGCTCACTCAAGGCTGCCGCACCATCCTTAATTCTTCTTCTGCTCTAACCCAGCTTTTTATCTGCTCGTACTTACACAGCCCTCCATGGCCTGAGCCATGAAGACGCGGTCCCATGCCAGCTACCCTCACACACCTTCTTTCGAGCATTGTCTAGAAATGTCCAGTACAAGAACTTCTAGGTTGCATTGACCTAGCGCACATTTCCTTTTTCTAAATCTGAACAGAGCACACGAACAGTTCACATAAGGCTACAGCTACAGTATATCCATTCCCTATCTGAGGAGGAAGTCACTCAGGATGTTGACCCATAGGTTAAACAAGGGGGACACAGCCCAAGATATTCTTGCCTGCGCCAGAAACAGATCAAGCTTCCGTACACACTTAGCTCAGCCTTACATCCTTACACAACTAACACAAATAATAACTAAATATGAACTACATACTGTTCTATTGCAGATTACCTCTGGAACCTTGTTTATTGTTAACCACTACACATGCAACCAATCTGTCTCCAGTGCAGGGGCTCTCTGTGTGTTTTAGACAACAAGCAATACACAACAAACAGTGGTGTTGTGCAATCAAGGGTAAGGGGGAGCGGCAGTGTCCACAAGCATCATTTACATATATACATACTGTAGTCTTAAGTATCAGACTGGTGTATGTAGCACAAATATTGAGATTGTCTACCCACAGTGTTTTTCTCAACCCATACAGTACTTTCATAGAAAAGCCACTTTCTAACCAATCCTTGTCAATTAATTATTGATTTATCAGTTTTATTCGACCCGGCCCCGGATAAGCGGAAGAAAATGGATGGATGGATGGATGGAGTTTTATTCTAGTAATTTTCCTCGGCTCTACAGCTGCCTCAGTCAGACTGCTTTGAGTTTCACTTTCACCCTCTGTAGGCCCAAGGAAAAAAAAAAATCACTAAATCCATATGTTACATTAAAAGGGGATTTCTTCCTGATAAACATACTGTACATGTAAAGTACTTCTGTCCAGTACATATATGCTGTCTGTCCACCTGGTGAGGACTCTCTCTACTGCCGCTGTCCTGCTGACAGACAGCTGATCTGATGACAAAAACACAGAATGTGCTGCTCAGGTCTTGCTTGCAGTGCGGATTCTCTTAGGCTAAATTACCTGCCCAGCAGAAAACAAGCAACTTCAGCTTCATTCTGCAAACATTTGTCCATCATCAAGAATTTCCATCTGCCAAAGGCCACACCAATGTTTATCCTCCTCTTGTGGTGTCATCTATCCTGTTTGTCTTTGCTTCTATGGCAATGGGGATTCATGCTGTCTTCTTTTGTCTTGTGTTAAAATATAACTATTATATAGTAATATAACCTCAATTTCTTCAAATTATAGATCTTGAACTCACCCAGTTCT